TTCTTGAAATGCCACATATTTCTTCAGAGGTAGGAACAGTCAATCACTATTGACTTTATAGGACTTAAAAATAGAACAAAGGGAACAGGCATCAAAGTAAGGCATAATTGTGTAGAAGCCCATCAACAAGTGTGCAGAATCAGAAGGCAGCTTTTGCTTTGGGACAAAGGAAAGCAAAAGAAAAGGACAAAATTAGCTTTATAATTGCCTATAGTATCACAATCTATTTTTAAACAAAACAAAGAGTGGAAGATAGGCAATATAGGAAAGTTGAAAGAAAGGCCGGAATTTCAGAAGAATGAAGTGAATTCTTAGAAATATATCCAGAACTCACTGTGCTTTATACAGAGAGTTTTGTTAATCTAGAAGCAGCATGATTACTTCAGATGTGGACATGGAACAGTTGGTCATCAATATTTTTAGAAGCTTCCATCCAGCTGCAGGTAAAAATTTTTGAGATACCCAAGAAATGAATAAGAGAGGGCATTATATTGACCACTTCATCTTACACTGCAATTCCCATCAACCCCAGTTAACAGGGTCAGTGGTGTGTGCTTATATAAGCTGCAGTCGAGCAACATCTAGAAGACCAAAGGCAGGTCCATCTTTAGGCTCTTTGGTGCCCTAGGTAAGGTAACACCATGGTGGCCTCTGAACATGCTCTCACCACCCCTCATCCACCACTAGAACCCTTACCCCTGTTCCTCCTCCTCCTCTTCCTCCATTTTCCTTTGCTCCTGCCAACCTTCTCCACTCTATTCTCCCTGTCAGCTGCCTTGCTACTACAGCTGCTTTGAGGGTTCTGTCCTTAAAGTGAAGCATTATGGGTGAGGCAGCCCTGGAGATGATTGCCACACGGGTTCATTGCCACCTGGCCAAAAAGCCTTGTTTTAAGGAACTACTCATCAGTGTCCGGCATTTGAGCCTGGTTCACTCTGAGAGAGTCCTTGGAGTAAGAGACTGGGCAGGCAGGCATCCTCTGCAGATGAGGTGGTGGCCATGTGGGAGAGAAACTGGACCATTTCTGCCACCTTCCATGTCTCAGTGTCCCTTTTTACTTCCATTATTTGGTACCCAAAGTAGTCACCGTTTTCCCCCCAACAAAATGGGGAAACAATTTCCCCCCAGAATTGGCCCTGGCCACAGCTTCCCCATCTCTGTGTTTCACAGCTGCCTTTATTATTCTTTAAGATCATGGCAGCACACAGAAATTGAAATATGTAGGGACCAAGCTGACAGAAAGATTTTGAGAAGAGCCCATGTCATTCTTCACCTCCTAGCCTGCTTTTGGAATGGCCAACCCCAGAAACTATTTAGCCAAATGGCAATACTCTGCTTTCATTCATTGGTCAATGATTGCTGCTCACCAGATCTATTGCTGTGTTTAAAATGAAATGCATTTCTCCACCTCTATTATGTGTGCGCACTTTAAGCTGATGCAGAGTCATTTTCTCTAAGAGCAGGTCATGTTCAGCAATCTACTCCAATCATTCATCATTATATGATTAGTATACATATTCCACATGGGACATTCTATATTTGAAGATACAAATACATTTTTGTTATGTATAGGGTGATTTAAAGTCAGCTCTCATAGCTAAACAAATATACTGTGGCTCATAATACAGCTAGAGGAGAGAACAAAGACCATCACCTCTGGAGAGAAAAGAAATTGTACCTGTGTTGAAGCTTTTTGAGTGTTGAAATTGCCTTAGTAAGTACAACAAATGAATTGGTATTTAAAGTGCTGCATATACCACAGTGCACCACATTCTCTCTGAATGCATTTATTTGAAGTTCTGTATCTTAAGTGCTACATTCATGTTCCATAGTACAATTTAGAAGCACAATTCTCCTCAGTGGACCAATTCAATTACTCTGTTCCTCTCCTGGGCCTTAATTTCTTTGTAGGAAAGGGGGAAAAAGGTAATGATTTCATCACTGCTATGTGTGCACAAGTCTGAAACTGGAATTTTAATAGGTGTCAGAAATTTAGCAGAGTACTTAATTTACTGCAAAGCTGCAGCAAAGGCGACAGACATATGTGAAAAGAGATACCCCAGACACACAGTTGGATAGCATCACACAATTAGGATACACACACACTGACATTCACCCTGATCAGCTACCCTCTTTGTGCTCAGTTCCCAAACACTAAAGCAGGTTATAAAATCCACCCAGCACATCAGAACGCACTGAACTAATAAGCCTACTATTCTTCTCCATAATGAGGTGGTGTAGAACTATTAAAGAGTGATATAAACATTTCTAAAGTCTAACTCATCTACAATAAGGCAGAAATACTGTACTCAGTTAGGAACCACCTTTGAGTAAACATGGATAGGATGGGATTGTGCAGAAAGCAAGACTGGCTGTGTATTGGTAAAATCCAGTTCCACTCAAGTGAATGGGGGGTTTTCCACCAGTCTTCATAGGAAAATAATGAATATTTGATGAGCAGATGAATATTTGAGCATCTTCCCAGACACAGCTGCTCTGACAACTATTAAAATGGTTTTCTCTGCTTTTGAGAAATTAAAAACTCCATTTTTGGCAGGAATTCTTACCATTCAGTGATGGGAGAAAGAAATTTGCTCTAGTTTGAAGGTGCTTATTCTCACACTGAGGGCATTTGGGATGGAATTATATTTTTAATTGAGAAGTATGGTGAAAGGGGAAAAATGCAGAATCTCACAAGTTAGGCCCAAGACAGTCTCTTGCCTTAGGCATGGCAGCTGCACCTCTCTTCATCCATGGCAAGGCCAGCATCCTCTGCTGCACCCCAGGAGAGCAAGTGAGCTTTGAGAATATGGGACATTCCTGCCCTCTTCCAACCCACATGTCCCGAGTCAATTGAGTTGTTCTGTCTAATGAAAGCCTGTGTGGTATAGTGGTTAAAAGGGTGGGAATGGGACTCAGGCAATCTGGCTTCTAGATCACCCTACACTCAGCCATGGAGGCAACTGGGTGACTTTGGTCAGTCACAGACTTTCAGCCCAGCCTACCTCACACAGAGGGAATAAGGCATCTGTCACAGATAGGGATAAGATTTAGAACAGGATGAGGAGAATGATGTAAGCCACCCTGAGTTTTTTTAAAAGAGAGAAAGTTGGGATGAAAATCAAATAAATTAATTAATAACAATAATAATGGAGGGGTTGGTTGTGCCAACTTCATGATCTTGTGAATAAGTGCAAATAATTTAGGTGAGGCAGATGGATCTGTAGGATGGGGGTCCTACCTTACTGTGTAGGACTATGAATTCAGGAAAAAGCAAAAGCTAGGGTTTGTTAGCATTTCAAAACAAGCAGAGGCAATGGCATCAAATTCTCCTTTGCTATGGCCACTTTATGCTTTGTAACTACTTTCTGAATTGCTCAGTGCATGTGTTATAAAAACAGAAAACATTTCTCTTCTTTATGACCAAGGTGAATGGAACGCTATCTTTCTTGGCAAGATTGAACCATTCTATTCTGCTGGCTACCATGTCAGACCAACAAATAAATGGTATCAATATTTTGCTGCATAGGTTATGGGATTCAATAATTAACCCTATGATAGAGCCAGTTGGAAAATGTGGCCCAACATAAAAACAGATATGAAACCAAAATATTTTTCTTGCTTTATATTATATGGTGAAATATTGAAAAAGCAGCTAAATTCCACAATGTCTTCATATATGAATTTTAACAGATTATTTGGCTTTTTCTGGTTTGCACTGTGACAGTATACTAGCATTAGCTTTGATATCTTATTAAAAGAGCACTACAGCCTAATATCCATGGTGTGCATATAAGTGGAACATATTTCTAATCTCTTTCTAAGTTCTGATAAGAATTCATGAGACCATGTGGAGTGATATTTAGGACAGGTAAAATAGAGTGCAGTATGAGATCCGAATCTTGAATTGTTTACTTCAGCTCCTTTGATGTCTCACTCCATGACTAAAAGGTAGCAGATAGAGAAATGCTTGTGCATCCCTTGAGAACCTGCTATGTTTGCAGAAAATAAGTTTGGTTTTGTCCTTGGTGTTGTATGTAATAGTAGGATAGTTGGTGATATTACAAAAGTGCAGAAATATGAAATTGGGCCTGCCATACAGACCCAAGAGGAATATGTCCCATGCTTGTTTCCAAATATTGGAGCCCCATCTTATCCCAGAATAACTAGTGGAATCATGAGGCTCTGGAGAGCTGTATTTCCTATTTATCAGCTATGATTCAGACACTGTGTTGATGCAAATTTCTTTGAAGGGATAAGACTGTAGTAGCCCAGAATTATGGGTAAAATTATACCTGACATCCATAGAGCATAAGCTGCAGTGAAGGAAAGATTAAGGCACAGCCTTCCCTTTCCCTAATCAAAATGACACTCAATCTAGGAGAGGCTGCATGGGAGCTGAAATTGTGCATTTATGTCCCAGAAGATTCACAGGTGTTTTAGAGCTGGCAAAGAGGCTTAGTAGTGTAGCTGAGATGGAAGAGTCCACAAAACTGATATGAAATCCATAGGCGTACATTGCAGAGCCTGAAATGTAATTGTGCTGGTAAAGCTGTGAGTAGACCAGGAGAGCTCCAAGTACCCAGAAAATTCTGGGCATGCTAAACATTCTGTGTTGATAAAATTGTTGGGCCATTTCTCAGAGTGATGCTGTGTGGTGCTGTGAAGTGAATCTGTTGTCTGATTGTTTGTTTTTATGCTTGACCTTTTACTCTTTTTGTATGTCTACAGAACCAATTCTGCATCCTTATCACCAATGCACTGAAAGTCATATTTTTCTTTTTTATGCATCAGATATCTGTGGAAGCAGTTATTTAGTTCAATATACATTTCCAGTACAACCTTTGACCTGAACAAGATCTTCACCATTTGGCCCTGAATCAGAAAAGGCACAACAACAAGGAGCAGTTGTCAGCTTGACAAATGCTACTGTTCCAGTTGGCATGGCAAAGATTTTACGATGATTCTAGTAAGTAACTCTAGAGTCTTTTATCACTCACATTGATGTCTTCCAAATCTAAGTTGTTCAGAGCAACGTTGTTCCGCTTCCATATGATGGGAGGTCTCAAGGTCCCCTGAATGGCACAGCTTAGAACTGCACTTTGTCCCACCGTTGCTGCAGTGATGCTTATTTTCTGATCTTCTGGCAAAGTCAGTTGAATTACTTCTGTAAAAGATACATTGTATTTAATGTAAATTAGCATGCAGAGATTCTTCCTATACCCTGAGAATTTTAAGGTTTTAATTTGAATCAAAGGTAAAATAATTTCCAAATGATGACAGTAAGTATAACTATTTTAAAGAAAAGGTCAGCATGACATTTCAATTAGATTGACTGGCAAGTATCTGCCTAATTACAAGACCGGCTTTTAGTGTGAAATTGCTTCAGAAGAGAATTTGGCAAACTGGCTTCAACTATGCATTAAAAATATTGTCAAATATTTCGGCAACATTTCGGCAACATTCTTGTAGTAACCTTGTGTCAATGTCATTATGTCAATATTAGCCAGTTTGGCATGATTGAACAACATATGATTTGTTAGCCATGCATCAATGTAGAGCATGTAGGAGAAGTGAACCTGCTAGCTCCTGTCCACTCACCCACTTTTGCTTTGGTGAACAGCCCAGGAATGCCCCATTCCTGGTTATTCTCCATGATATCTGTACATGGAACTTTGGGTTGTTGAGGGAGGAACATGTCTGAAATTTAACCCAATCACAAACAAACATAATTTCTCAGTTTCACACACTCACAAAGAACTAACTAGTAACAAACAAAAATTACACAGGTACACAGAAACAACATTCTATTTGATAATGGTTTCAGATATAAGTATACATGACAATGGCAGCCATGTTGGTTTTTAATGTTTATGGTTGACCCACGTACAAAGCACACTGAAGGAGTCAGTCTTAATATCAAGAGGAGAAGATGGATGGGGATCCTTGGCCTTCTTCCATCTTCCCCCATGCTAACCAGGGTTAATTAGTAGTGAAGTTCAAAACATCTGGAGGGCACCAGTGGGGAAAGCTATTTTAGAAAGTAAGGGTGCAGTCCCTTTGGCAACTGTTGTAAACTACCCAGTGAGCTTTGGCTATCAGATGATATAGAACTTCAATAAATAAGTAAATATATATGCTTGCTGAGACAGAATAAGTCCAGCAACCCCCAGCATTCTGCAGCCAGCTATGCTTTTTCTCCTGTCTAAACATGCACAAAAGAATGCATGAGACATAAACAATTGAAATGAACTGTAGAATCTTCTCAGAGGACTGTAAAGTTCATCTAAAAATTCACACTAAGTTTGGTTTTTTTTGTTATTATTTTAATAACAGTAAAGTTTAAAGAAGAGAATGAAGATACAAAAGAAGAAGAAGCATAGAAACACCAAGAGATCTTTAAAAAATGTTATGTAAGATATCGAGTATAAAATTGCTTGCTGTAAGTCAACAATTACTCAATCAACAATTTGCTGTATGTCAATGATTATTCCTTTCTACTAGGTAACATTTTTTGAAGTTAGCTAAAATTCTTTGAAAACTCTTCTAAATTGCAGTTCTTTAACTTGTTCTCTATTCACCTTGACTCATTTTACTAAAACAGTAAAGCACTAATATATCATGAATCTCTAACATTTTACCCAAAATTCTATTTCTTTTATGCATATATTTTCTGTTGTTATTTGCCCCATTAAAAAGTAAGTTGTAATACAATTTCTACTTATCATTAATTTTTTTGGCTGATTATCTTTTTTACATAGTTCATTAGACTTACTTTTACTACATAGTCAACCAACATTTTTCCAGTCTTCAGTGATTGAATTTTCTTTTGCTTTCCATTTTAAGGCAATTTTAACTCTAGCCATGATTATCATGTACTTAAATAGCTCTATTCATCTTAACTCAACTTATTATAGCAACAAAGCATCAGTACAAGAGTTGATCTCTAACAATGTTTTCAGAAATTCTATTCCATTTGTATAACTCTCCTTGCTATAACATTGAATCAGAATAAACATTAATCTCTAACAATATTTTCAACAATTCCACTCCATTTATATGTGGATTTTTCCCCATTTTAAAGTAAGTTGTGCACAGTACAATTGCCACTTAGCAGCAGCTGGATTCTTTCAATATGTCTGCTAATCAGATTTTAACTAATAACAAAATTATTGTTTGTCAGTGAGAAAATGTAGGGTCACCTGATACGTATTATATTAAATACATAGCATGCAGTTCTCTAAGCTGTTGGGTGGGTTGTTGGCAGTGGCAGTGAAGGGTGTATATGTGTGTTCTAAAAGTAACCATGGGGTGGAGGAGTGATATAGAAGATGGTTGTAAAAGATGCTTGTATCACATTGGATATAGGTGTTTAGTCCTTTCCCCTCTTCCTCCATGAAAACCTCTTCTTCTGGGTGGCAGGTAGCAGTTAGGTGGAAAAAGTTCCCATGTTGCCATCAGTGGAGGCTTCTGTTGTTGCGCAGTTATGTCTAATTACAGAAACCAATAGGTGACAGGCTGATATCACTATCAATTAAAAATGGTATATTTAAATCTTGATAAGCAATCTGTGGTATGCCATATACAATTTCAGCTCCCACCAGCTTCAGCCAGCATGGTTCAACTTGATGCTTTAATTTGGATTCCTGCTTTGAGAAGGGGGTTGGACTTAATGACCTTATAGGCCCCTTCCAATTCTATTGTTCTTTGATTCTATAACAAAATGTGAAGAATTTGTGTAGGTTTCTTCTTTTGTCAGTCTGTTTGGGTTGCATGTGAGTTTGCTATTCTACAAGAAATCACCATAATATATTCCTTTCTTCTCCTGGCTTCCAGCATAGATGTAGCCCATCTTTCTGTGGATGGAGCTACTGGCTGCTATCTCCACACTAGCAACCAGCCCCAAGAAATCTTGTTGCCTGGCCACATCATTCCCCATAAACAAGGAAGAAGATCTAATTACTTATCATATTACCTGCACCTATGGCAAATATGCTGCCTTACCTGCATGAGAATGTACGTTTTCTTGCCTAATGTGTGATTATGCCCTGTTTGAATCCCTGAATCTGAACACATATGCACCAAAATTATTCACAGATTGAATACTGTCACACTTTCCCAGTTCAATTTTGTGCAAATCTCCTAAATTTCCCCTGTATACTTTACCACTCTCATTTTAGTCAATGGAAGAAAGCTGTACAAATTTGCAAATTTGGGAAATCTGTGCAAAATTCATGTTAGAACATTGTTTAATATGAGCAAGTTTCCCATTTTTTCCTGTCATTCTCACATCAATAACACTGAACAATGGTTAGTGTTATTCCATTTGTATAAATCACCGGTAAGAGTGAGGGCAACCCTCATAAGAGAAAGGGATTGATGGATGATATAATCTGTGGGGTAGGTATATGGAGAAACTATATAAGACTGCAACTTTGCAAACTATTGTTTGCAAATTGGTCCACTAGATCTATGTAGGGCATTTCTCCCCAGTGAAATCAATGGGACTTTGAAAGTGTTTACCTTTGGAGATATTAAACCTAATACATTACGTCTGGGGTTTAAATTGCCAAGATTGTGATCCATATTAGAGTAGCCCTATCATACTTAAGGGGAATTTTTTGCACTAAATGTTTTGTGACAAGTGGCCTCAAGGAACCACAAAGAGCCATGAGTAACTTCATTACTACTTAAATAACAAATTAGTCTCAAGTAAGACAGACATTAATCTTTCAATTGGGTGTAGAGAACATCTATCTATGAACATAAGAGATCCTTAACTGGCTCTTTTTAGCCAAATTAAGAGAGCACTTTGTAATTAGTACAATTAAAGAGATAGCACATTTGTCTAATGTGTTTTCAGAAAAAAAGCATCAAGCAAACATTCACTAGTTCTGAAAAGAAAAGGTTTGTTGCAGTACTAAAAGCTGAATAATTGAATTATTTTTAACGGTTCCTTGTTTGGAAAGGAAAAGTGAAAGCATCAGAATTAAACTCATGTGCTTTTCTTATGCATTGAGTTCTTGTATAGTACATACGCTTTAATTATGTGCTGTATGGGGTGAGGGCTATGTATCCCAGTTCTGCAACTAATTCCAGTGCTCAAATTATGCTGGGGCAGAGATAAGATATGGGGCTTTTATGAAATCAACAAGTTCATTCCCTAGTTTTAACCTAATCATGACCCTTGCAACTTTCTAAAACCATAAAGGATGTGGTGAAATCTGCCCCTTATGTTAAATTTGTAAATCAAATGCTGCCTAATTTGCTTTCTCAGAAGCAGGAAATTATAACTATTGGGTTATTTAGGGGGGTTATAGACTAGATGTCTCTTTGACAAGGACATTGATCTAGCATTGCCACTGAACAATGTCCATGAGAATGTAATCTATGGGTTGCTGGCAGTGAGAAACATGATTTGTGCTTGTTATTAGTGGGGCTAAATATGGAAATAAGCATCTGGCAGTTAAGTGATATGAGAAGCAAGTGTGCTGTAGTGTTAAGAACATGGAACTGGGACTCAGGCAATCTGGGTTCCAGTCCCCACTTGACCATAGAGCCCACTAGATGACTTTGGGTCAGTCACAGACTCTCAGCCCAACCTATCCCACAGGGTTGTTAAGATGTAGAGCAGCAGCAGGAGTATTACGTATGTTGCTTTGAGTTTGTTTTAAGCAAAAAGAGGAATATAAATCTAATAAATAAATTCATGGCCTTGAGATATTAACAAGAATCTATTTCAGTGAGATATTGTTCAGTAACCCGTGTTGCATTCGCCATGGAGAGGTGTCCAAAATATCTTCTCAAACTCAATAGGACAATACCAATCAGATGGATCAAAGACATCCACCATTGCACTAAGGAAGAGTGTAGATGTTCAGATTATTTCCTGCCAAATTTTTACCTGGTCCATATTTTCTTGCCACAGATATCTAAATTTCTATCTAGGGAAAGTGTCCAACGGCATGAGGGGCTGAGTTTTGAAAATGAATGAGGCTGTTTGCAAGACTGTAAAGTCTAAAGAACAAAACAGTTGTCTGGATGTTTATTCAGCATTTTCTAAAGCTTGAATTGCATAGAAGTAATAACAGAAGAGAAAATATGCCTTTTAATTAACAACTGTACATTCTGAGCCTTCACATTTGGTATTACTTATTTATTCACTTG